AGGGTGATGGCTTGTGCTGGCACTTGCCCCAGCACCCTCAGTACTGTTGTTGGGTCATCTGGTTAGCCACCTCAAGCCCTGGGAACCTTCATACCCTGGCACAGGGTGCCTTGCAGTGATCCCTTTTGCACAGTGGGCAAGGACAAGGAGGTGGTGGGTTTCTTCGGGGACAATTTCTCTTAAAGTGGCTCAGTAGGCTGCAGTGGTAGCAAGCTCTGCCAGAGTGGCAGCTAATCCAAGCCTTTCTGTCTTCCAAGTCCCTTGGGTCTGCTTGCCTGAAGGCTGTGCCTAGGGCTGTTACTCTTCTCTGGTCTCTCCTGTTCCTTTCAGCCTGTTCCTCCTGGTCTCTATTATAGAACACCGAGGTTGCTAGATTTAGTAATGATTCTAGACTCTGTTCTGGCCCCCGTGCCAGCTTCTGGAGCTTCCTCCTAATGTCTGCTGCTGATTGCATAATAAATTTGTCTTTTAGTATTAGCTGACCCTCGATAGAGTGTGGTGACAGGGAAGTATACTTTCGTAAGGCCTCCTGTAACTGCTCAAGGAAGGCTGTTGGGTTTTCTTCTTTTCCCTGAGTTATGATGGGTAATATTGCTTTCTGCAGGCAGTGTCTGCCCAGCCTAGGCTCCACCACTGTGCCCAGTTTTTACATCTTTAACAAATTTAAAAGAAGCAAAAGGACAGACTAGCAAGCCAAAGGAGTTTGATACCATTCACCGCTCTAAAGTCCAAAAACATACTCTTGGCTGGCTCTCCAAAGATGTAAGTCAGGAAGAGAGCTGGACATCCCAAAGATGCTCCCAGTTCCCAGATTGAGAACTCAGCTCCATCTCCACTTGGATTCTGAGGTCCTTGGCCTCTCTAACCTGAAGAATGAGGAAAGGGGCCCTGGAAGCATGGTGAGCTTTCTGTTCAAATAAGTATCATGGACTCAAAGAGTTTAGCAGAGAGCAATTTATTAAGCAGAAAGAGAGAATGAGGGAGAGAGAGAGAGCTCCCATGCTGTCATGGGAGGGGATCCAAGGAAGGAATACATATAGGTAAGGATCATTGGGGTTTTAACCCTGGAGTTATTCCTTACCCATTCATGTGCTTGTCCAATGAGAGGAGTTCTTTCAAACTTCCTCTGCAGTGATTGATCTTTGACTCTGATACCAGATTGGCTGCTTGGTCCACAACAGAGCCCCTCCTCCCAGAGGTTTCCGTGGGCTTTTTGAACAAAGAAGCTCACCTGGATTTTCCATCTAACCTGTAAGGGAAAGTTAGACAAAGAACTATACATTCCCAGATGGGGACATGGATGGAGGCGTGCTGCTGGGAAACTCCTCCCTTTAAAACCATGTCCCTCATAAACCCAGGAAGAAAAGGTTTTTTTCCTTAACACAATCCCTCACCTTGGCCCTATGTGTGCTGCCTTAAGATAATTAGAGCAACATAATTGTCTGTGTGAATTTATAGCATTCAAAACCTTATACCATGCTATGAGATTTTATAAAATTTTTGTTTTAGTAACATGGAAGATTTCATATTTTAAAGTATCACTTTTACATTTTACATTTTACAATATGTTATATTTTACTATTCAACAAAATCAAATTTTTACACTATTTGGGGGAAAATAGTTCCTTTTACTTAGTGGGTATTAATAGTTCAGATCCTACAATTGAGACATTTGGGGGAAGATAGCAATCATAATAATTAGCATTTACTCTTTATATTAAATATCAAAGCTCAAAAACAAACCTAACATTGTGGTTAGATCCCACTTAGGTAATTAATACTATGTCTTGAGTATAAGAGTCCTAAAAATAAACACAACACTAAGCAAACCACTAATGAATCACATTAAGAATGACCAAGGCTTCAATTTGTTTAATTGTGAACTTGTCCTGCTCTTTGTTCATCAGGCTATGATGCACATCCTAAGCTGATGAAGTTCTATTTCAATTGAAGGTTCCACCTCGCTGCTGATCTTCACCTTCACTGCACTACTGCCTTATTTATATGAATAATTTGAATGAATGGTGCCATCTGACTGAAATGCAGTCAAGAGTTATCTCCAATACAAATTACTGACTCCAAAGAAATGTCACTGAGTGCTTGGAAGTATCACTTAAAAATATTGAGAAAACAGCTACAGAATCCCCTAAACTGAAGATCAGTTAACTCAAAGATTTAGTAGCCCTCAGCAAAAGTATAGAAGAGCATTTAGGCTTTTAATGTACATTATACCATGCTCCTATGAGTGTCTTGATGTTGCTCATTTAAGTAGGCAGACAATTAAAAAATGAAAACATGCATTTCATGCCTTTCAAGAAGGCATAAAAGTAACTTCAATAATAAAATATTGTGCCTGGCAGATTAACACCCATTAAGTTTGTAGAAACCTCTCCTCTAGGGAAAAAAAGTTGTTTCTAAGCTAATGAGTTATATGAATATATGCCACATTTTCTTTATCCATTCTTCTCTTGATGGGTACATAGGTCAATTCCAAAATTTGGCTAATATGAATAGTCCTGCAATGAACAAACAAGAGCAGACATCTCTGACATACTGATTTCAATTCAAATTATATGAATACAGAAATGAATTGCTAGATCATAAGGTAATTTTAGTTTTAGGGTTTTTTTGAGGAAATTCTATACAGTTTTCCATAATGGCTATACTAATTTATATTCCCAAGAATAGTGTGTAAGAAAAAAAAAGTTATCCACTCTGATAGGAAGCTTTCAATTCAGAGCTAAAATTTTAGAGACTTAGCAGATAGTATACATTTATTGGTCATCTGCCTCAACTGCCTTCTAGTTTGAATGGGAAGTTCTATTGGATGTTTTGGAAACATTAAGAGAATTTGGTATGATTACTGTTTTTTTTTTATTTTTCTGGAAAAAATTAATCCTATTCATGAGAAAATATTACTTTCATGCTTAGAACTTCAGAGACTAATAAGATATGTGTAATAGATTTACAATACTGTTAAAGGATAACCATGACAAACAATTGCACAGGAGGTATGATTCTCCATATAGAACATACATGCCATTTGAGAAGAGTTTAGCCATTTATTCCCAGAATCAGGTATTTAAAGTCATATTACTATACCAAAATATTAAGTTGTTGAAAATGCACAATTAGGCCATTTTCATACTGCTGATAAAGACATACCCAAGATTGAGAGTAAAAATAAGTTTAGTGGATGTGCAGTTCCACATGGTTGGGGATGATCATGATGGAAAGCAAAAGGCATTACTTCCATGGTAGCAGCAATAAGAAAATAGTGAAAGCGGAAATCCTTTAACAAACCATCAGATCTCATGAGACTTATTTACTAGTATGAGAACAGTATGGGAGAAACCACCCTTGTGATTCAATTATCTTGTACTGGGTCCCTCCCACAACACATAGGAATTAGAGGAGTACCATTCAAGATGAGATCTGGGTGGCACACAGAGAACAGAGCCAAACCACATCAATTAGTTCAGATTTGAGTGGTTTTGTTTTGTTTTGCTTTTTTTTTTTTTCATTTGCATCTCTTCTTAGGTATTGAAATAATGTTATAATATCTTCAAAGCAGAATATTCTTTCAATTTTAGTATTTAACCACGTGATGAGAAAACATGATACTTTGAATTTATTCTAATAACTCTAAAGTGAATCATTCATTTCCATTCTCAATGTTTTTTACATTTTAGCATTTTAAATGAGAGACTCCTCATGAAATCAATGACATGAAAAGGTTTTCCTTGAAATATATGTATGGAAATGTCTTGAATAGAAATTAAATAATCTCTCACTTAATATTAGCATTCCCTTTATCTTACTTTAGTGAAAATTTTACTCAAAACAATATGAAATCATTAAATATCACAACATCTGTGGGATATAATAATTTTCTCACCAAATGACACTATTGTGTATCCTGTCACTGTTTTTAGTTCTATTGTAACTTCTATCACATGTCCATCCTTCTCCTCCACACATTCTTAAAGGTAGCATAATTGGAATTATTTGAGAATCACCATACACCACTTGTCTAAGTAGCCTGAAATATTAATCTATATTAATGCTGATTGAATAAATATTTGAGGAGGCTAGAAAATGAAGAAATCTCATAAAATATTTTATTAATAAGAAAGTGTTTTTCTATGCATTTGTGATTTCCTATTTATTTTAGGTATTCATTCTTACTTTTTAGTACTCAGGGCTCTTAAGAGTATCAAAATGCTAAATTCTCATGTTTTTTTTTTCTCTCTCTGTTTTTAACCTGAAAAGTATGGGTTGATTTCTGCAAATGGTGGCATATTAGATCGGGTTCTACTTGACAAAAGTAAGAACTCGCTGTACCTTTTGAGGTCCTTATTTCTTCCCAATTACCATGATAATTTTCTGTCATTCTACTATGGGAAAATAATTCTTCATGGGTTCTTATGTCTTTGTACATCTTCTGAGAAAGAAATCTTGACAGCCTTTTTGGTTAGACTATCTTTTCAAGGATATTTGTATAATATATCTCAAAAGACAGAAGTAGCTTCTCCCTAAGGGCAGAGGGTAGATTTGTTTTAGGATAATAAAGATAATACATACAATCTCTGTCTGGGCAAAATTTGGGAAGCTTTGCTACCCACTCATAAGACGAAGAGTTTCCTTAGCACAAGATTTCTCAGCTGTGACAAAGACTCACTGTTTGCACAGCACGTGCTTGGGTCAACCTGCATCACCCATGGGACTTGTGGGGCAAGAAGAACTAATAGAAACATGAATCTTACACCATCAGAGGTCATATCCTTTGTCTATGACCCAATGAGGTAGGAGTTATTAAGAAAATGTTTTAGGCAGATAGAAAAAAAGGGTCTTTTGGAAGATTTTTCACAGCTCTTGTCTAGAATGAAGGCCCTGGGTCTTAGATCCTGGCAGGCAACCTTTGATATGCAAATGCCATCCATTAGAAACTGGGTCCACACAGCATGGTGATTCCCACTGCTGTCTTCTTGCTCTTGTCCCTACGGAGGCAGAGGCTGGCCGAGCTGCAGGCCAAGCACGGAGATCCTGGCGATGCGGCACAACAGGAAGCAAAGCACAGGGAAGCAGAAATGAGAAACAGTATCTTAGCCCAAGTACTGGATCAGTCAGCCCGGGCCAGGTTAAGTAACTTGGCACTTGTAAAGCCTGAAAAAACTAAAGCAGTAGAGAATTACCTTATACAGATGGCAAGATATGGACAAATAAGTGAGAAGGTATCAGAACAAGGTTTAATAGAAATCCTTAAAAAAGTAAGCCAGCAAACAGAAAAGACAACAACAGTGAAATTCAACAGAAGAAAGGTAATGGACTCTGATGAAGATGACGATTATTGAACTAAAAGTGCTTACAGACTAGAACTTAACGGAACAATTCTAGGACAGAAGTTAAGATCTGATTATTTACTTTGTTTATTGTCTATAGGCCTTTAAAAAAATAAACTTGTTATGCAAAAAAAAAAAAAAAAAAAAAAAAAATGCCTGACTGCATAGCCATCCCCACAAATCCCCAAGTGGAACATCATGGTGCCCTACATTTACATTTAAAGGCTAGGGTGGGAGGGACAGTTTTTTTGCCGGCTACTTGAATGACATGCCTGGTCAAACCAATTCCCTGAGCCCTATGCAAATCAGATACTGCCTCCTCCAGCCATTGAATATAGCTGACTGATACTATCTAAGTGTGGGATTGCCACTCTCAGCTTTGTAGCCCCCCTCCCTCTGTCCCTGTACAAGGGAGCCTCTTTCCTCCCTTTTCTTTCTTGCCTCTTAAACTCCCTCCTCCTTAAAACTACTCCATGCGTGTCCATGTTGTTTTTTTCGAATTTGACTCGAGAAGAACCAGGTGTTCTCCACTCATTGGCACTGTGTCACTGGAAGTCTCTTGTCTTCTTCCAGCATTGATGAAACTGAGGCAGGCTAACTTGTTAGCTTGCAATTAGATAAAATCTCTGACCCTGGCAGTCCTTGCCACTTCTACCATTCTGTTAGAATCCCAGGCAATGTTAAGATAAAAATATAATTAAAAAGATGAATGAGATTATACAAAAGTAGAAATTTAAAAATTAGTAAATCATTTTTTAAATAAAAGGAATATAATTTAGTGATCCATTATGAAAAATAGGAAGATATTTTGCAAAATCTAATCCAGGCATTTTATTATGCAGATGAGGTAAATTTAAAACTACAGAGGTCATATAACATGATAAGTATCATAAAGCTAGTTCATTAAAGAGTTTCAAATAAACTAGTCCCTGGACTTACAGTCTGATGTTTTCTAAGATTATGTACGTAAAATAGGAGCTTTTGGTTGAAGATTACAAATGAGCACCTTTATTTGCTACTCCTTTGACTTAGAGAAGTCTAATTTGTTTTCTCTGAATCTGGGCTGGCCTTGCTGACTTGCTTGACCAAATGCCTGTTGAGGAGTGAGTTTAGAAACTTCCAAGACTGGGTCAAAAGAAGTCTGAATACTCTGCCTGGGTGTCTTGGGACACTTGCTTAAGGAGCCCTGGTTAACCATCAGATATGTGCCTACCATATTGGATAGACAACGTGGAAATGCCCAAGAATACAGAGAAAGGAAGGAGGTGTCTGCTGAATCTTTTAGCCAGAACTGTCAAGCCCTGAGAAATGTGAGTGGAGCTGCTTGGACTTTCCAGATCAGCTCAGACACCTGTTACGAGGAAAAGACCTCAGTCAGCAACATGGTACTCTGAATATCCACCATCAGATTGCATCTGTGTCCAGCTGAGTCACATCAGTATTCCTGACCCACAATATTATGAGATATAATAAAATCCTTGTTCCTTGAAGTAAACATTTTAGTACAGTTTTGTTACACAATAATAGATAAATAGAACAGCCTCTAAATGTCTTTAAACATGCTGTTCTTGGTATAAACCACGTTTGTTTAAAATGTTAAATATCAAAACTAACATTACTTGTCCTATTTCCATCCCCCTTTCTCTCTTTGAAGCTTTCAGTTTTGTTTTTTTTTAGAATAGTCAGATACTATATTTTAGAATACTACTTAGAAATAATTTCTCTCAGTGCTAAACTGTTCCTTGAGTCAATTTTTACAGCAGTTATAAACCTCTGAATAATAGGGTTTATGAAAAACTGACAACAAATCCTTAAATTTATCAGAAATCCTTGGCAGTAATTTTACATTTATAAATAGATTCTTATTAATTAAAATAAATGGTGTCTGAAATGGGTCTCACTTCTCATTTGGGCACTAGAAAACTAAATAAATTTTAATTTGAGTATTTAATTGAGTATTTTCATCTGTAAGCTAAATATATTGCCTATGTTTTAACATTAAAATGACTTGACCTTAACTATTATTTTTTGAAGATGGTTGACTGAATGTTTCCAGTCACGGAACAGACTCAGCTAAGTCAGAATTTAGGGCACACTTGGGTGATCACCTATGGTCTTTGTGAGCATGACCAAAGAGCTGTTCTGTGTCAAAGATTTCTAACTTACCTTGGTTAAGATAGAAAGACAATCATAGCCTTTTCATTCTGTAGGTCTATCATGACAAATCAAGAGCATGTAATGTGGTATATCTCAACAAGTTAAATATAGAAGGGAAGCTACTCAACACAATAAAGGCCTTACATGACAAACTCACAGCTAACATCATACTCAATGGTAAGAAGTTGAAAAATTTACTCTAAGTTTAGGAAAATACAAGGATGTCTACTTTCACTTTATCTATTCAACGTAATACTGGAAGTCCTTGACAGATCAGTTAGGTAAGAAAAAGAAATAAAAAGCATCTAAATAAAAGAGAAAAAATTAAAGTCATCTCTGTTTGCTGATGCCATGCTCTTATATATACAGAAAACTCTAAAGACTTTACTAAAAGTCTGTCAATATGCAACAGCATAAAACATACTTAGGAGTAAATATAACCAAGAAAATGAAATCTCTATATACTGAAACTAGAAAAAAAAGGTGAAAGTTATTGAATGATACACAAACAATTGGAAAGATATATTGTGTTTATGGTTTGGAAGAATTAATATTGTTAAATATCCATATAACCCAAAGCTATTTATCAATTCAATGCAATCCTTATCAAAATTCAAATGTCATTCTTTGTAGAAGAAAAAAAAATCTTAAAAATATGTATGAAACTACAAAAGATTCCAAATAGACAAAAAAAAAATTGAGCAAAAGAAACAAAGATGGAAGCATCAGATTACATAATTTCAAAATATATTACTAAGATATAATAATCAAAACAGCATGATAAGCTAGAAAAACAAACACATAGACCAATGGACAATACAGAGAACCCTGAAATAAACCCATATGATCATGGTTAATTGATTTTTGACAAAGGCGTCAGGAACACACAAAAGGAAAAGATAAATTTCTTCAAAAAATGGCACTGGTGAAATGAATATCCCCATGCAGAATGAAATTGAACCCTTATGTCATATCATATACAAAAATCTACTCAAAATCAATTAATGACTTGAAAGTATGACCTGAAACTGTAAATCTACTAAAAGAAAACATAATGGAAAAGCTTCTTACATTGGTCTAGGCAATAACTTTTATTTGAAACAAAACAAAAGTAGACAAATGATATTATATCCAACTAAAAATCTGCAAAGCAATGAAACAGTAGAATGAGGAGACAATCCAAGAGTTGGGAGAAAATGTTAAACATCATCTGATAAGGAGCTAAAACCCAAAATGTAGTAGAAATCCAAAACAACTCAATAGTAAGGAAACAACCCCATGAAAACGAGTAAAAGAATTGAAAAGTTCTTTCTCATATGAAGACATACAAATGACCAACAGTTACATGAAAAAATGTTCAGCATCACTAATCTTCAGAGAAATAAAAATTTACAACCAAATAAAACATCGCCTTACACCTGTTAGCATGGCTATTATCAAGAAGACAAAACAGCTGTTGGTAACAATGTGGAGAAACGGGAATTCTTACATACTGCTGTTGGCAATGTTAATTAGTAGAGTTATTATGAAAAGCAGTATAGAAATTAATAAGAATTAAAAACAGAACTACCTTATGACACATCAATCACACTTCCAGTCATATAACCAAAGAAATTGAATTCAGTATGTAGAAACAAATCTGTACTCCCATGTTCACTGCAGCATTATTCAGAATACCTGAGATCTGAAAACAACCTGAATCTATCAATGGATAAATGAATAAAGATAATGTGACATATTGGGATACAATTGAATACGATTCCATTTAATACTATTCAGCATTAAAAAGGAAGAAAATTCTGTCAATTGGCTCAACATGGATGAATCCAAAGAACATTATGCCAAGGGAAATAAGTCAGGCACAGAAAGACAAGTGCTACGTGATCTCATTTATATGTAAAATCTAAAAAAGTCAAACTCATAGAAATAGTGAGTAGAATGGTGGATACCCAAGGCTGGAGTTGCAGGGGATGTGGAAATATTGGTCAAACGGTACAAAGTTTCAGTTGGACAGAGGAAATAATTTTTAGTGATCTGTTGTACAACATGGTGACTGTAGTTAATGATATGTATTTCAAAATTTCCATAAGAGTAGATTTTGAATATTCTTATCAAGAAGGAATAAATATTTGATGTGATGAATATGTTAATTATCTTGATTTAAAGTATTCCATATTGTGTATGTGCAATGAACTTTCACATTGTACCCTATTAATATAAACAATTATTATTTTTCAATGAAAATTGATTAAATTTTAAACTATCATACAATGTGGTATAATTTGTTCACTATGCACACTCAAACAAACACACACAATTATTGATTGCTTCTTTAGATAAGGTAGTGTACTTGATGACTTTGGTCATCTTCATGTTTTCTATGGTGAACATATATTAATTTTTCAGAAAATTTTAATGAATGTTGCTTTAAATATCATGTGATAGGTCATTGAAAAGAGAGGATCCATGGATAAGACAGTATTCTGATTGATCTAGAAGATGTAAGATTTTGATAAGGATTTTAGAAAGGACATTGTGTGTAGATGGAAAAGCTGGTGAAAATCTGTGCACACGATAGAGCATAAAGAGATAAATGTAAATATTTCACTAGGAACAATTATTACAAGGGATCTACTCCACACACCAAAGAACAAAACACGGCCATTGTATCATGCAATTTGCTATTTTTTTTTTCTATTTTAAAAGCAATTGAATTAGCTTCCATGATAAACTTAAGGTCGCTATTTGTAAATCATACACCTAGAAATCATTGATTTCCCTTCTTATGAACTGAACAAAAACAATAGCAAAACAATAATAGATTTCAGCTGTTTATTTTATTGTTGATACCTGTAAAATTTTAGATTTGTTTAAGACTCAATTTGCCATCATTACATTTTGCACTTTTTCCTCATGTCACTTACAACAAAGTTAGTGAGATAATATTTTTATGATTGTTTACTGCTTTTTATTCCACTAAACCGTAAGCTCCCTGT